CTTTTGTCCATCGCATCGTGTAGCATTTCAGTTGCAGTACTGACTTACAAACCTGTATTCACTTTAAAATGAAGAGAACTTGAAGTATTTTCTCCAAACTCCTGTCCTGGGTTCCTGCATGGGAAGCAGAACCTCAGTTCGGTTGGACATGGAGGGACTGCTGCCAGCAGCACCGGGGACCCGCTGGGGAAGGGCTGAGAAGCTCCTGTTGAGGAGAGGCACCGCCAGCCACCCTCGCTGCAAGGCTGCGGCATATGACACGTATTTCTGCTTCTTTTCAACTTCATACCATTTTATGTACGAAATAATTTTAAGTTGTGGTGTCAGACCTTTTCCCTGTGAAAGGAATGAAATGCTCTTAGTAATTTTTGAAGTTGACTTCAAAAAGGCAACTTTTTTTTTTGATGCTGTTGGCTAACATGTTAATGATACATAAGAAAGTCATTCTGTGCGTAGAGCAACTGACGGGTTATCTGATTTTTCTCATACTTCACATTGTTCAGTTTTAGTTAATAATGTTTAGAGTATTTTGCAATATGTTTGGGAGGAAACATTATATATACACACAGAACTGAAGCTTCCCTTAGGAGAGCTATGCCCATGCTTCCAAGAAGCAGTTTGGAATATTTTTGCTATGCGTCTTTTACTTGTGGTATAGCTTCTTATTAATTCTAGAAAACACTTTGGAACAGTAACATGGAATTTTTAGAGGGTGCTTAGGTTTTCTGACTGTTAAATCTGCTTTATACACCATGCACTTTTCACCCTGAAATGAAGCCAGATAGGTTTTCGTTGCTTTTGCTCCCAACGAAGTGATGCAAAACAAGATTAGCTTTTCTCTCTGAAGGTTTTGAAAGAGATTGAGCTGTGAAATGAAAGACTTCATCAGCTTCAAGCTAAGTCAGTGAGCACTTTGACATACGACCGTGCACCTTTCTCTGATCAGCGACACTCCTCCTCTGGCCGCCTTCCCGTTGAAGAGGCCGCGGAAACCTGACAACCTAAGACACATCATCTCTGCGTTCATTGAAATCAATTAACAGTTGCATCCTTGCTGAAAAAGGAGTGGGGAAAGGGTTGTTATGGAATGAAATTTTTCTTCATTCAACAGAAAATTGAATTCACAATTAAGTTTTGTAACAGACAACATATACAGTCTGCTAGATATGCAGCACTGAACTTATCTAAGAGGGAAATATAATAGAGTTTGGAGATGCTTTGTTATATTCTTGCATATGTTACTCTATATTAAAGAGTTATTAAAAGGTAAGCCATAGATCAAGATGCCTCTAAGGCCTGTTTTCATCTGTGCATTTAATTTGTTTAGATTGCTGCTACATTTGATAACAGTAACATTAAGTAGTTGTTACTGTGCGTGACCCTTGTGAGACTGCGTTATCAGGCAGGTAATTTTGTACATGCAATTGAGAACGTACTAAAATACATTAATAATACCTCATTTACTAGCAGTTTACTAGCAGTTACCATCTAATTTCAGGGTAAAATAAATCTATTTTTTCTAAGGAACTAGGATTTAAGGAACCTGCTTTTAGAAACTTTTTCCAGTTAGTCAACAGGAGAAGACAGAGGCTCACATGCATTTTTATTTGACTTAAATGTGCTTCACCACTTATTTTGCCTGGCAAGCAAAGATAGGAAACTGGGATCTTCTCAGACTCCCATTATTTCCTCAGGATAACTACAATATTTGGGCTATTTCCATGTCTTGGGCAACATTTTAACAAATGGATATGTTCCCATCTGAAGTTAAATGGAAGAGAATTCCCAATAAGAGCCAAAATATCTCCCAAACGTACAGTTTGGTTTGGATGTTTTTTCACTGAAGCATACAGGCTGGATGTGTTCTGCTCTGAGGTGGGATTTGAATGATCATCTTCCCTCATGTCTCCTCTTGTATGGAAGCCAAGAAACCTGAACAGATGGTCCTTCCTAGCTTCTGAGCCTTGTTTTGGTGTACCATCAGCTTTGTGATTTTTTTTTTTTTTTTCCCATTACTCAGTGCTCCAGTAACTCAAAAAACTATTTAAAAACCACTGAGTGATGAATGGGTTTGAGAAAATGCTGATAATTGTAAGGTTAAAGACATAGCTAAAATTTTGCCTGTGGTAAGTTCAGAATAACTAGTCTCCAGGTAAAATATAGAAAGCATAGCAACTTCCAGTAGACATGGACAGGGAGTTTGGAAGTTGTTGGTCACAGCTTTACCATCACCGTGCTGAATGGACACTTGCACTTGTAAATGCAGCAGAGGCCACAAAACTGCTGCAAATCCCACAAAGCACCACGAAACTTGATTTGTGATTTTGAAAGTTTTCAGTCTGGGATAGGTTGAAAGATTTATAGCTCATCTGAAATCTGTATCTTGTTGGCATGTTAGAGAATGTAGAAGCTTCTTACATGATTCTTAGTTGTTGCAACTAGTTTTCTGGATCCTTAGATTTTCTCTGTGTGTAATTCGTTATTTTTAGAAGTGAGTATAACCATAAAATCCAAACTTCGGCAGTGTTGATGGGGTTTCTGATCTTGAGGTTTGGCTAGGCTGGTTTACAGTTGCGATGTTGGTGTCAAACTGGGCTTTTTTACCCTGTGGGTCGGATGTTTGCTGTCTATTGTGTATCTTTTTTCAATTAACATACCATATTTTATAGTTAAGTGAACGTATATAGTGCTTGCATTAGCTCTGCGTGTACGTATATAAACTTGCAGTTCTCTGTGTAACATTCTCCTAAAGAGTTTGCTCTGTAACTTTAAGCCTCGTGCAGCTCGAGTCTGTAAAACATGGGGTTTGTTCCTGAAGTTCCAGTCCTGCAAGTCTCTCTGCAGGTGAACCTTGCCCAGTTTGGGGAGGCTGGGATGACTTCAGCAGGGCTTGTGCTCGGTGCAAAGATTTGTTCACGGAAGCAATTGTAGGGTGGATTTTAAAATTTCTTGGAGTAAATCTTCATGAGTATGTGCCTGTGTATGCAGTGCAGCAAGAAGAGTCCTAAGCCTGCTGAAATAGTATTTAGCTTTATCAATATTGCCTTTGTTTAGTTACTGTCCATTGCTTTCAGAGGCAGTGAGGTTGGAAATGGTGAATATTTACGGCTGAGTGCTGTAGCACTTTGTGGTAGATTATACTTACTTTTACCTAGCCATGTATGCTGGCTGGGGACAGAGCTATGCTGCACAGCTTTCCTAATTACTGCTGTAATTAGGACTCGATGGCAGAGAGGGTGCCCCCGTGGAGTGTCCTTCCTTCTGCTTGTGTTGTCTGACTAACCCAGCTTGTGAAACAGAAGCAAGAGGAAGAAAACTCCAAGGTTTTCAAACACAGAGAAGGAAAATTATATTTCTTATGATTACAAGAGTCTCATACGGTTGTTTTAGGTAGAAGACTTAAATTAGCAGATTTCAACTCTGATTCATTACCTAAGAAATCAGGTCATGCAAATGCTGTATGTCAAGATCAAAGTCTTATATGTAAAATGTGCCTTCTTGTAATCAATAGATGATGAACTAGGCAGGTTATTTGCTCAAGTACTGTTTGGTCCAAATGGTTATTTGGTTATTTGCTAATTTTTGAGCCTGCTGAAACCAGTGCAGTGCCTTATCAGGTAGGCTCAAGAAGCATAGTATTGCAAATACGAGGGTGTAGAGACCCACTTGCTATTCCTGTAGATTGATTTCTGGCACCTGAGCAATCAGTGGTGAATCATTGATTCATGTATAGAATAAATACGCTTCTCAAGGGGTAAACCAGGGTTTTTTCCCCATAAAAGAAAGCACTTACTCGTTTATTTCTTCTACTTCTGATGCAGAAAACTACTAAATGTTCTTTTCTGCTTGGATCTTCCCATAATCCTTGTTTCTTTAAGCCCTGTAGGCAAGTTAGTCTTAAAGGAAAGTTTATATTGTGAGCAGTGGCTGTCAACCGTTATTGGGGATGTTTTGTGTAAACCATCAGATGTGTTTTGACACTTAGATGCAAAAGGCTATAACTTAATTAAGATTTCTCTGTTAAGTTTTGAGTTTAGACCCTTCACGTGTTGCTAGCATTTCTCAGGAAAGAAAAAAAGGACACGTTTTTTCTTCTGATAAGAAGTCCTAGAAACTGGAACTGAAGAGCTTGAGGTGGATTCCTCATGTACTTCTTATCGTCCCCCATGCGTTCTCTCGGTGTTTCCATCCAGGACCAGCACAGCCCATGAGGGCGTCTATTTAAGCCGTGTGTAATGCAGATACACTTCTGCTAGGAGATTCCAAGGGACCGTCATCTCATTTTACTTAGGAACAGCACTCAAGTGGTGGTTGGCCAGCTACCAAAATACAGATGACCTAAGTGCATAACAAGAGAAATGTCTTCTGTTCTACTATTTCTTTGGAATTAAGTCTTAATTTCTTCCCCCTCTGTTTCCTTTTTAGCCTGTTCGATATGGGAGGAGAGTATTACTGCTACGGCTCCGACATCACCTGCACCTTCCCTGCAAATGGAAAGTTTACTCCTGACCAGAGGGCTATCTATGAAGCAGTGCTGAAGTCATCGCGGGCTGTAATGAAAGCAGTCAAGCCAGGTAAA